GGTATCTTTAATGAGGAAACGATTCGCCACACAGTGGCTTCATTGGTCCATAGAAAGGAGAATGGTGAAGAACAGGAAGAGTTTGAGGTAATTGGTCCCTCAGCCTTGAGTTGATGTAATCAGTCCATCAGTCTTGAAAAGAATACAGCATATGTGCAAAGAAGTGGATTATGTGCCGTAGGTGGTATCACATTTGACAAATCCAAATGTGGAAGTAGGTCATGCCTAAAGGTTAGGCAAGTGAAGAATTCCCTGTATTAAGATCCCAAAATTTTCTTTTGTCTGACAGGATACCCTAGTGTTGCACATGTGTCTAATTTATCATCTTGTCAGTTCTCTGAGCCATTTATCTACATACTTGGCGTGCTGTTGGAGTGTGAGCAAAATAACATTTTTGAAGGGATTTGGGGAACCAGTTAGCCGGACTTGAGTCCTGGAGGTGGGAAGTACAGTGCCTTTGCTCTGAAGGAGGGATATTGATATGTTGCAGTTTTTGTAACTGTAGTGTAGGTACACTTCTGTCAAGACAGTGATGGAATGAATGATGAAAGTGTTTCTTCTTTTTTGGGTCACCCTTCTTCAGGAGGAAACAGCCATTATGTTAATAAAAAAAATACTATAAAAATCAAGCAAGTTGTAGTAGTAGGTTGGTAGACAGCAACCATCCAGGGAGGTACTACCGTCCTGCCAAGTGAGTGCAAAACAAAAGCCTGTAATTGTTTTACATGATGGTAGGATTGCTGGTGTTTTTTGTCTGTCTCATAAATATGCAAGATTACAGGTACGTCTTGCTACTTCTACTTACACTTAGGTCAAACTACACATACATGTACACATTTATTTATACACACTCATCTGAGTTTTCTTTGATTTTATCTTAATAGTTCTTGGTCTTATTACTTTTCCTTTTATATCCATGGGGAAGTGGAATAAGAATCTTTCCTCCGTAAGCCATGCGTGTTGTAAAAGTCAACTAAAATGCCGGGAACAATGGGCTAGTAACCCCTTTTCCTGTAAAGATTACTAAAAAGAATAAGAAGAAGAAAATTGTCAAAGTGGGAAGTCTGAATGTGCGTGGATGTTGTGCAAATGATAAGAAAGAGATGATTGTGGATGTTATGAATGAGAAGAAACTGGATGTCCTGGCTTTTAAGTGAAACAAAGCTGAAGGGGGTGGGAGAGTTTCAATGGAGAGGAATAAATGGATTAGGTCAGGGGTTTCAAATAGTTAGAGCTAAAGAAGGAGTAGCAATAATGTTGAAGGATAAGCTATGGCAGGAAAAGAGGGACTACAAATGCATAAATTCAAGGATTATGTGGAGTAAAATAAAGATTGGATGTGAAAAGTGGGTTATAATAAGCGTGTATGCACCTGGAGAAGAGAGAAGTGTAGAGGAGAGAGAGAGATTCTGGGAATGTTGAGTGAATGCGTGGGGAGTTTTGAATCAAGTGTGAGAGTAATGGTGGTTGGAGATTTCAATGCTAAAGTGGGTAAAAATGTTATGGAGGGAGTAGTAGGTAATTTTGGGGTGCCAGGGGTAAATGTAAATGGGGAGCCTTTAATTGAGCTATGTGTAGAAAGAAATTTGGTAATAAGTAATACATATTTTATGAAAAAGAGGATAAATAAATATACAAGGTATGATGTAGCACGTAATGAAAGTATTTTTGTTAGATTATGTATTGGTGGATAAAAGGTTGATGGGTAGGCTCCAGGATGTACATGTTTATAGAGGGGCAACTGATATATCGGATCATTATTTAGTTGTAGCTACAGTTAGAGTAAGAGGTAGATGGGAGAAAGAGGAAGGTGGCAACAACAAGTAAGAGGGAGGTGAAAGTGTATAAACTAAGGGAGGAGGAAGTTCGGGCGAGATATAAGCGACTATTGGCAGAAAGGTGGGCTAGTGCAAAGATGAGTAGTGGGGGGGTTGAAGAGGGTTGGAATAGTTTTAAAAATGCAGTATTAGAATGTGGGGCAGAAGTTTGTGGTTATAGGAGGGTGGGGGCAGGAGGAAAGAGGAGTGATTGGTGGAATGATGAAGTAAAGGGTGTGATAAAAGAGAAAAAGGTAGCTTACGAGAGTTTTTACAAAGCAGAAGTGTTATAAGAAGAGCAGAGTATATGGAGAGTAAAAGAAAGGTGAAGAGAGTGGTGAGAGAGTGCAAAAGGAGAGCAGATGAAAGAGTGGAGAGGCACTGTCAAGAAATTTTAATGAAAATAAGAAAAAATTTTGGAGTGAGTTAAACAAGTTAAGAAAGCCTAGGGAAAGTATGGATTTGTCAGTTAAAAACAGAGTAGGGGAGTTAGTAGATGGGGAGAGGGAGGTATTAGGTAGATGGCAAGAATATTTTGAGGAACTTTTAAATGTTAAGGAAGAAAGGGAGGCGGTAATTTCATGCACTGGCCAGGGAGGTATACCATCTTTTAGGAGTGAAGAAGAGGAGACTATAAGTGTGGTGGAGGTACGTGAGGCATTACGTAGAATGAAAGGGGGTAAAGCAGCTGGAACTGATGGGATCATGACAGAAATGTTAAAAGCAGGGGGGGATATAGTGTTGGAGTGGTTGGTACTTTTGTTTAATAAATGTATGAAAGGGGAAGGTACCTAGGGATTGGCGGAGAGCATGTATAGTCCTTTATATAAAGGGAAAGGGGACAAAAGAGATTGTAAAAATTATAGAGGAATAAGTTTACTGAGTATACCAGGAAAAGTATACGGTAGGGTTATAATTGAAAGAATTAGAGGTAAGACAGAATGTAGAATTGCGGACGAACAAGGAGGTTTCAGAGTGGGTAGGGGATGTGTAGATCAAGTGTTTACATTGAAGCATATATGTGAACAGTATTTAGATAAAGGTAGGGAAGTTTTTATTGCATTTATGGATTTAGAAAAGGCATATGATAGAGTGGATAGAGGAGCAATGTGGCAGATGTTGCAAGTATATGGAATAGGTGGTAAGTTACTAAATGCTGTAAAGAGCTTTTATGAGGATAGTGAGGCTCAGGTTAGGGTGTGTAGAAGAGAGGGAGAATACTTCCCGGTAAAAGTAGGTCTTAGACAGGGATGTGTAATGTCACCATGGTTGTTTAATATATTTATAGATGGGGTTTAAAAGAAGTAAATGCTAGGGTGTTCGGGAGAGGGGTGGGATTAAATTATGGGAATCAAATTCAAAATGGGAATTGACACAGTTACTTTTTGCTGATGATACTGTGCTTATGGGAGATTCTAAAGAAAAATTGCAAAGGTTAGTGGATGAGTTTGAGAATGTGTGTAAAGGTAGAAAGTTGAAAGTGAACATAGAAAAGAGTAAGGTGATGAGGGTATCAAATGATTTAGATAAAGAAAAATTGGATATCAAATTGGGGAGGAGGAGTATGGAAGAAGTGAATGTTTTCAGATACTTGGGAGTTGACGTGTCGGCGGATGGATTTATGAAGGATGAGGTTAATCATAGAATTGATGAGGAAAAAAGGTGAGTGGTGCGTTGAGGTATATGTGGAGTCAAAAAACGTTATCTATGGAGGCAAAGAAGGGAATGTATGAAGTATAGTAGTACCAACACTCTTATATGGATGTGAAGCTTGGGTGGTAAATGCAGCAGCGAGGAGACGGTTGGAGGCAGTGGAGATGTCCTGTCTAAGGGCAATGTGTGGTGTAAATATTATGCAGAAAATTCGGAGTGTGGAAATTAGGAGAAGGTGTGGAGTTAATAAAGCATTAGTCAGAGGGCAGAAGAGGGGTTGTTGAGGTGGTTTGGTCATTTAGAGAGAATGGATCAAAGTAGAATGACATGGAAAGCATATAAATCTATAGGGGAAGGAAAGAGGGGTAGGGGTCGTCCTCGAAAGGGTTGGAAAGAGGGGGTAAAGGAGGTTTTGTGGGTGAGGGGCTTGGACTTCCAGCAAGCGTGCATGAGCGTGTTAGATAGGAGTGAATGGAGACGAATGATACTTGGGACCTGACTATCTGTTGGAGTGTGAGCAGGGTAATATTTAGTGAAGGGATTCAGGGAAACCGGTTATTTTCATATAGTCAGACTTGAGTCCTGGAAATGGGAAGTACAATGCCTGCACTTTAAAGGAGGGGTTTGGGATATTGGCAGTTTGGAGGGATATGTTGTGTATCTCTATACGTATATGCTTCTAAGCTGTTATATTCTGAGCACCTCTGCAAAAGCAGTGATAATGTGTGAGTGTGGTGAAAGTGTTGAATGATGATGAAAGTATTTTCTTTTTGGGGATTTTCTTTCTTTTTTTGGGTCACCCAGCCTCGGTGGGAGACAACCGACTTGTTGAAAAAAAAAAAAAAAAAAAAAGTTGTAGTGTAAAGATGTAAAAAAAATTATAGTGTAATGATGTAAAACACTTTAAAGTTGGTGAATTGCTTTTTTTCCAAGGAATCAGAGTCCAACCTTTCCATGTATCAAACCCAAGCAGTGTATGACCCTTAAGTGTTGAACACACTCCCACTTTCTTTCAATGCACTGGCCGTATCCCACTGAGGTGAGGTGGCCCAAGAGAAAAAAATGTAAATTTCTCCTTTTTTCATTTAGTAATATATACAGGAAAAGGGGTTACTAGCCCCTTGCTCCTGGCATTTTAGATGCCTCTTAAAACATGCATGGCATACAGAGGAAGAATTCTGCTCCACTTCCCTATGGAGATAAGTGGAAATAAACAAGAACTAGTAAGAAAAATAGAAAAAACCCAGAAGGGTGTATGTATATATATGCTTGTGCAGGCATGTATTGTGTAGCCTTAATGTAAGTAGAAGTAGCAAGACGTACCTGAAATTTTGCATGTTTGAGACAGAAAAAAGACACCAGCAATCCTACCATAATGTAAAACAATTACAGGCTTTCGTTTTACTCACTTGGCAGGATGGTAGTACCTCCCTGGGCAGTTGCTGTCTACCACCCTACTACTTAGACTTTCCCACCTATCTACTAATAAATTTTTAAGTGTAAGAAAACTTACCCATGGAAATATTGCAGAATTCCATGATGGAGGAGAGTCCAGAGGAGGCACGTAAACGAGAAGAAATGCTGCGTATGTACCATGCATGTAAAGAAGCACTTAAAATTATTGGAGATGTTTCCATGGCAACAGTGTCCACTCCTATGCCACCTCCAGTGAAGGATGACTGGCTCAGCACAGGCCAGGAAAGTCCAAGGTAACGTATGCAAAATGTTTCCTTATGCTGTAGTGTCATATCTTAATTGTGTTAACTTGGTATATAAATGCAGTATATATTATCTACAGACGCATTTGTTTTCTATAGCAGAGTGATGAATATAAGAGGACGTATGTTTGTAGAGACAGTAAATTATTATTCTTAAGAACTTAGGGGACAAAGAAAAGTCATTTCGTAGAGTAGATGAGGGAGTAATGTGGCAGATGCTGCAAAATGTATTGAATAGGTAGTGAACTTGTAAAAGTAATAAGGAGTTTTTATATAGAAAATGTATGTAGAAGACATAGGGAGAGGGACTTTTTTTTTTTTTCTGTCTCTCTGTCTCTCTGTCTCTCTGTGTCTCTCTGTCTCTCTCTGTCTCTCTGTCTCTCTCTGTCTCTCTCTGTCTCTCTGTCTTCCTCTCTCTCTCTCTTCTCCCCCCTCTTCTCTCTCCCCTTCTCTCTTCTCTCTTTTGTCTCTGTCTCTCTGTCTCTCTGTCTCTCTTCTCTGTCTCTGTCTCTCTGTCTCTCTCTTCTCTGTCCCCTTTCTCTCTCTCTTTCTCTTCTCTTTTCTCTTTCTCTCTCTCTCTCTCCTCTCTTTTGTCTGCTCTCTCTGTCTGTCTCTCTCTGTCGTCTCTCTCTCCTGTCTCTCTCTGTCCCCTTTTTCTCTCTGTCTCTCTCTCTTTTCTCTCTCTCTCTCTCTCTCTCCTCTCCTCTCTCTCTCTCTCTCTCTCTCTCTCTCTCTCTCTCTGCTCTCTAGTAGAAGTTGGCCTTAGATAGGGATTTATGATGTCACCCTTGTAATTCAGCATACATATTTATATATGGGGTTGTAAAGGAAGTGAATGCTAGGCTGTTGGAAAGGTGTAGGATTGAAAAATAAGTGATATGATATGGGAAATGTTAGTTCCCATGTGTTTAAAAAAAAAAAAAAGTGAATGGAGATGAATGATTTTTGGGACCTGATGAGCTGTTGGAGTGTGTGCAGGGTAATATTTTGTGAAGGGATTCAGGGAAACGAGTTAGCCACATTTGAGTCCTGGAAATGGGAAGTACAATGCCTGCACTTAAACCCTTTCACTGTCGGTGACATATAGGTACGGCTTGCAAGCCAGTGTTGGTGATGTACACCAAAATTCTAGTGGCTTCAGATCTAGCGGGAGAAAGCTGGTAGACCTACATGTGAGAGAATGGGTCTGTGTGGTTAGTGTGTGCAGTATGAAAAAATCCTGCAGCAAGTAGTGCATAATGAGAAAATAACTGACCCTGTTTTGGTTTAAAACAATGACTTTGCAGTGTATTTCATATGGTATTTATGGTTGTATTCTCATTTTCTTTGTCTCATTTGATAGAATCGAAGATATATTACAGAAATAGTTATGATGTTGATTGGTTTCTTTATAAACAGTACCTTGAAATTGAGCTCAAAGTAGCAGAAATGTTTGATTTTTGCAGATGTTCAAGAGTAAACAAATGTCACCATCCAATACGTGTCCAACTGGCAATTACAGAGAGCAAGTTTGTGAACAGGGGTCTCGACAGTGAATGGGTTAAAGAAGGAGTTTGGGATATTGGCAGTTTGGAGGGACCTCTGAATTGTCGTATCTGAGCACCTTTGCAAAGACAGTGATTATGTACGAGTGATGGTGAAAGTGTTGAATAATGATGAAAGTTTTTTTTTTTTCTTCTTTCACTGTGGCTCAGTGGTAGAAGTGTGTTAAAAAAAATGTATGGACCCTGCTGGTCTTAGATTTTTTCACTGTATGAATAGATGGAAGAACACAGTGTTGTCTTGAGGTAAAAAATATTGGCAGGTGGCAGATTTGTGGGTATGAAAAAATTATGCATATTAGTACAGCAGACACAGTACCTGCACATGCATACTAGTACATAGGACATAGTTAAAGGGTTAATGTTGGTAATATCTTATTGTGCATAATTTATCAATTAAACTTTATCGTAGATATGTATGTAAACTAAAAAAAAAATGAGTAGGGTTTGCCATTATGCACAGTTTCAGGCATCCGCAGTAGGTCTTGGAACGCATCACCTGCAGATACAGGGATACTACTGTATATATATTCTTAAGAGAAGGTGATGGAGGAATTTACAAGGGATGCAAAACAAGGAAATTAAAAGTGACCATAAAGAAATATGTTATGAGAGTATCAAAAAGTTTAGGTAATGAGGTATTGGAAGTCAGATTGAAGGGAGGGTGTATAGATGAAGTGAACATGTCAGTAGGTGGGTATATGAAAGATGAGGTGACCCATAGAACAAACTAGTGGGAAGAAAAAGAAAGGAGCTGTGTTGAGATATCTGTAAAGAAAAATTATGTATACAAAAGCAAGAAACCAAACCATTAATATGGGTGTGAGACATGGTCTTGGAACATTGCAGCGAGGAGGAGGCTGAAGACAGCAGAGCTGCCATGTTTGAGAGCAGTGCTTGATAGATATATTATTTAGAGAATTTGGAACACAAATTAGGTGGTGGTGTGGGGTTACAAAAGGTATAGTTCAGAGGGTGGAGGAAGGGTTATTGAAGTGATGTGACCATTTAGGAAAGATGGAGCAGAATAGAATTGCAAAGAGCATGTACAAGTTAGTGGAGGATGGAAAGAAGCACAGAGGTCATCTTAAGAAGTATTAGTGAAGATTCTATTTGGTAGAAGCTTGAGCTTCCAGCAGGTAGCTTTGAGCAAATTAGATTGGAGTGGAGGCAAGTAGATTTAAGGGTTTGAAATTCTGTTAGGGCATCAGCAGGGAAACAGGTATGAAGGGATTCAGGGAAACTAGTTAACCTAAGTCCTGAAGGAGTGGTAGGGCAAAGGGATGGGGCGGGTTGCTGTTCAAAGTTCATCTGATTTTGCGTTCTGTGCCCTGCTGGAAAAGCATCTTTTGGGAATAAAATGATTATTTTCCCTTTTATAAACCCACTCTTCCCTGGTTCTTCCTGATGCTAATCACCTTAGTGCAGTGGTGGGGTTTTGAGTTTTTTTTGTTTAGGGGGGGGTGCCTCCCTAAAAAACCCAGTTTTTTTTTTTTTTTCACATAAATATTTATTTTTTTTTTCCCTTTTGTTTATAATTTCCTGTATTTTAAATAATGATGCAATTATGGATATGGATTATGAAATGTGAAAAAAACGGCAAATTTTTTTAATTTTACTTGGAAATTTATGAGTTTAGTAATACGTTAGTAATTGGTTTTTATAGGGGGAAAGTTAAAAGGGCAAAGTGTAGATTTGAAAATTGTTAGAGGCAGAATGTTTAAAAGCACTATTTTCCCAAATGTTTTTCCTCAGTTTTTTAAACCCCTTTTTCGGGGTTTCCAAAGGGGCCCCAAATCTGGAGTCATGCACCATTTGTCCAAGTTTTTTCAAAAAAAAAATTTGGGTTTTTTTTTCCCTTATGAAATCGTAAGAATCTTTTTGTAAGGTAATAAAACAAAAATTTACAAAATTTGGGGGAAAAATTTTGAGGGGAAATTATGCTCCTCCAAATTTTTGATGTGTCAGCGATATTTACAAAATCGGCGATTTTCCCGACTTTGACCCCCTTTTTTGGGCCAATTCCCCTTTTTTCCAATCAACCAAATTCTTAGCTATTTCCCCTATTTATTACTTTTTCTACGTTTTTTTTTTTTGGAGCACAAGAAATCCCCAATTTTAAAACTGTTTAAAACAACAAAATAAAGTGATCGGAAATTTTTAAATTTTTCCCAAATTTAACAAAAGTTCAAAATTTATTCCAATTTAAAAAAATAGGGTCCAGAATAAAACAATGTAGGCATTCCGGCACTAAACTAACATTTCCTCTTTTCTTAGTTTTTTTTGGGAAGGGTTTTAAAAAATTTAAATTCCATTTTGATTTTTTATTCACATAATGAATTTTTATTCCCCAAAAAAAATAAAAATTTTTACTGTTAGGGCAAAAACTGAAATTAATTGTAAAAATATCATCACCATATTATTAAATTTGCATATTGGGCCCACCAGCTGGCGTGTATTAAAACGTGTGGGGGTTTCGTTTGTTTACTTTTTAAAAAATGGGAAAAAATTTAAAAAATTTCTGCAACTTTGAGCTCATTTAAAGCCTTTTCCCCCAGTGCAAAAACCCAATAAAAATCATCTCATTTCTGTAATAATTTTTGATGAAGATAGGGAACCGTGATTTCGTGTATGGGAAAAGGGGGAAATTTAAAAACTTGTAGGATGAGGAAGAGCCAGTTTTGAGGTGGGGGAAGTTTTTGGGGAGAAAGGGGTAAAATAAAAGGGGGAAAGGGAAAAGGCCGGGGTTGGAGGGGATAAAGATAGAAATTTTTAAAAGAGGTGGGGATATATTTTTGGGAGGGGAGGGGTGCAATTATTTAATAAAAAGTTGGGGGGGAAGGGGGGGGGTTTTTTTTTGGAAAAAAACCCTTTTTTTTAAGGGATTGGCAAAAGAGCATGCATATTCCCTTTGGGTATAAAGGAAAAAGGGGAAAAAAGAGAGTGCAAAAATTTGGGGGGAAAAGTCTGTTGAGTGTACCTGGGAAAATGTTTTGGTTTGAGGGTTTTAATTGAAAGAATTAAGAGTAAGGCGGAGAATAGGAAAAGCAGGGTGAAAAGGGGGGCTTTAGGAAAGGGAGGGGGGGTGGGGGACCAGGGGTTTAAAAGTGAAAAAATATAAGTGAACAGAAATTTTGATAAGGCTAAAAAAGGTCTTTGTGGCCTTTATGGATTTTGGGAAAAGGGGGTTGACAGGGTGGATAGGGGGGGAATGGGGCAGATGTTGCAAATTATTGGGTGTAGGAGGTAGGTTACTGAAAGCAGTGAAGAGTTTTTTTCGGGATAGGGGAGGCTCAAGTTTGAGTATGTAGGAAAAGGGAAATTTTTTTCCCAGTAAAAATAGGCCTTAGACAAGGATGTGTGATGTCCAAACCCGGGTTTTTTAATATATTTTTTAGATGGGGTTTTTAAGAGAAGTAAATGCAGGGGCTTGGCCCAAGGGGGGCGTGG